AGCTTTAATTAGCGTCCCCCCTCAAGAGGCCAACATGGGGCCAAAACCCAAGTACGACCAATGATTTGGGCTTCCTCGCCGAGGCCGTTTTGGATGCTCCGGCGACTCGCGGACCCCGCCGTCCAGGTCCAGGGGAGGGGGTAGGGGGAGGGGTCAAGACTCCCGCCCCGCCCGCAAGCCGTCTCGTTCACTCCCACCCGCCCTCCCAACACATACTTAGCACCCGAGTCTGGCCCGAGCCTCAGCATATTCAGCAGTCGTCCTTGGATGGGCAGCTACTGGGGGCCTATCCGCCGCCGCCGCGTCCGCCACCGCCACCGCCGCAGCCCCAGCCGCCGCCGCCCCCGCCGCCGCTGCCCGCCGCCGCAGCCCCCGCGCCGCCGTCGCCGTCGCCGTCGCCGCCGCGCCGCCCGCAGCCGCCGCCGCCGCCGCCGCTGCAGCCGCCGCAGCCGCCGCAGCCGCCGCAGCCGCAGCCGCCGCAGCCGCCGCAGCCGCCGCCGCCGCCGCCAAGTGTACTCTGTATTGTTTTCTGACAGGGATTGTGGGGTGAGGCCGCATCGGGTTGGCTGCGCATGCTCCGAATTTGGAGGCAGACTGTGTTTTGTATCGTTTTTTAAGAGGGATGGTCGGGGCGGTGCCCGCATGGACCTGGTTGACTACCAGTCGCCTTGGGGAGGGGGTGTTTATTAATAGGTAACAGTGCTAAACCCCTCCCCGAAGGGGAAAAAGGGGGTGGAAGAGGAAACGCTCTAAACCACCTACGCCCTGAAGGGCTGGTGGGATTCAAGCCTGCTCATCCTGCCGCGGGGGAGTTCATGACCCTTTCCTCGCCGTCCCCCGCTGCCGCCGCTATCACCGTCGGACATCGACCTTGGATCCGCTCCCTTATGGAGCGATCACTAGGTAGACAAGGGACGCGCCCTCGGCCAGCCGGCCTCCCTCCCTACACATGCTTAGTTGCAAGTTTTCGCTTAACGGACTTGTTGTTTTAGCCATGCGAAGTCAATTTCAGCCTACTGAGGAGATGGTCCCCTTGAGGATGGAGGAACAACACAACACACCGCAACTGTCCTGCGCCACGCCCCCAAATCACCGGGAACGCCACTGAGTGCCCAGTGTCACGGTCGGCGTTGGCGGATACGGTAGGTTCGCGCTGCGTCGAGGCGGCGGCGACCCCAGCGCGGGCGTCCAAGGCTGAATGCCGCCAGTCGCCCTGAATCATGCCGTTCTGACCGATTTGTGCCATCGGAGAGCCACGATCGTTCAAGGTTACAGGATCCCCGAGTTGCCAGAAACCGACGCCCTGGTGGTCACGACGCGAGCTTGCAGCGTGCCGTTGCCAACTTAGGCACGCGGCGGCCATTGAGGCGGGGACCTCACAGATCACCCCCAAGAGCACATGCCGTGAATCTTGCCGCGCAGGGGCAGCAGCTGAGGCGGGACCCCCATGGGCAGACCCCGCGAGCATTGGTTGGAGCATCCTGCCGAGACCCTGGGCTCAAGCCATCCTTGCTCAATCCGCGCCCTTTCCGAGGTGCGGTGTTTGACCCTTTTTTCCTCGCTCCTCTGCCCCGAGAGCGGCCATGGCAGCTCGGCGGTGGCGGCGGTTGCAGAAGCTGCCTGCCGGCGTGGAAACCAAGAACACCTTTTTGGATTGCAAGTCGCCTTGGATCGAGCCCTTGTCCCTGGACAAGCGCCCCAACTCGGACCCGACCTCGTCGCTGACCTGCAGCGACCTGGGCCTGTCGAGTGCCGCCGTCCCGAGCGACGCGGAAGCGACACGCAGCGCTCCAAACGAGGAGGAGCTGTCCCCGAGGCACCAGGGGGTCGCGTGGGCACGCGAGCGCCCGAAAACGCACCACGCGGCAGCCAGCAGTGAGTTCAGCGACGGGGTGGAGGACACGATCGCCCCGAAGGAGCAGGATCCCGCTCCCTCCAGGACCCAACGGCGGCGCCTACAGCGGAACCTCCTCAGGCAGCAGTACGCGACGGCCCTGACCTCCTCGGGGGGGACGTGGTAGGCAGTCACCACCCGCCAAACCACCCCAACCCAACCCGAAGGCCTCAGTCTTACCTCCATTTCCAGTTTGGGGGGTGTCGGGGAACGTCGATAAAACACATATATGGAACCCGTACCCCCCCCCAACCCGAAATTCGGGTCCTCGGGTTGGCTTGGGGTTGTCTGGTAGGTAAGCAGGCAGCCAGAGAACCGCCTCGTCGAGTGGCTCCACCAAGATCTCTCTGTGACGAGCCGCCTCGCGGGCCCCTCGCGCGGCGACGCCGCTGTGGCGCAGAGACCGATCGGGGGTGGACAGAACCCCCACCCTGACACGTCGATTAGTGAAGTGTCCGTTTTCGGTTCTCGAGAGGGCGCCGCGGCCGTCATTTTCCAGGCTTGCGCCCGCCAGGTTAGGGCCCGAAGTCGTTTTCACTAAACCACGTTTTGCCAAAGGGGGTTCTGTCCAGCCCCGAACCGAGTGTTTCCGCCCAGGCCTGCCTGAGTGCAGACCGGCCGGTGGTTTACCGTCTTCTGACCGCTGCGCAGCAGACGCAGGGGGGTCCCTAGTGGGCCCTGGAGACGACAGGGCCGTTTCTGTTACCGGTTCTGTCCTGCCGTTTTCGTTGCCGGTTCCGACGCCGTTTTTTTACTGGTTCCGTCGCCGTTGTTTGACCAGTTCCCGCTCCGGTTCTAGTCCTGGAGCCGTTTTTTGCCGTTTTCGGTCGCCGTTTTTTTTGCCGTTTCCATTTTCAATGGACATTTTTGTGGAAGGGGTGAAAAAACGGCCTTGCCGTTTCCGGGGCCCACAAAGGAGGGGTCATGCCAGCTCGCAGGGCAATGCGTTTTGGCACCCAATCGAGGGGCAGATATGCGAGTGTTGTCCCGTTTGTCAACGTGTTGCTCCCTTCGCAAAAGAAGTATGGGGGGCGCAGGGAGACGAGAGGAAGGGGGATAATGCGGAGGAGGAGTCAGCATGCGAGCATATCTCTGCGGCCACCTCCTCTGCCCCGGCCGCCCCCAGAGAAGCCCATCAGGGCAGATATTATACACTCCTACCTACCTACCTACCTACCTACCTACCTACCTACCTACCTACCTACCTACCTACCTACCTACCTACCCACACACACATACATACATACATACATACATACATACAGACAGACAGACAGACAGACAGACAGACAGACAGACAGACATACAACCTACCTACCTACCTACCTACCTACCTACCTACCTACCTACCTACCCACCCACCCACATACATACATACATACATACATACATACATACATACATACATGCATGCATGCATACATACATACATACATACATACATACACACATATACATATATACATACATACATACATACATACCTACCTACCTACCTACCTACACACACATACATACATACATACATACATACATACATACATACAAGTGTATTCATGCATATATGTATATAACTATATATGTATATATAGGTGTGCGTGCGCACTGGCTCATACACTTGCATATCGCCATACCTACACCTATGCCTATTTACATAACGCTGCATCCATTTATATGTAGACATGCAGAACTACACATCCATTGATACATAACACAGAAACATTTACATATGCAGCTACAGCTACACATACATATACATACACATATACGTCGACATCGACATCGACCTCGGCATCTACGTCTACATCCACATCCACATCTGCATCATCATCGCTATACATGCATTTACATATGCATCTCCATCTACATATGCATATACCTCTACATGTGCATATGCACATGCATCTACATGTGCGTATGCATGCATATGTACATGCACTTGCACATGTGTATACATATATGTATATTCGCATCCATACATACATACATACATACATACATACATACATACATAACTACATATATGTATCTGCATGTGTGTATATATACACATATATAGATGTATCCTGGGGTAGCACTGGGGGGGCGGAGCGTAGACCACGTATCCTCCATAGAGATGCCGGGGGGTTGCTGGGTGGGCCCAGGAGAACCTCAAGACGGCTCAATATAGCCCCAAGACGGGTCCAGAGGGTTTTCAGGACGACGCTCGAGGCTTCCGAGACGGCTGGTGATGCCCCAAGAGGTTTCAAGTGGATTCCGAGAGACAAACCATAGTTGTTCTTGAGGTTCAGGATTTTTTTTACCATTTCCAAGAGCACCCCTCAGAAGGCCCAAGAGGAACACAACATTGATTTTGATTAGGTGTTTGCAGGAGTCTGGGGTTCTCGCCCGTTCAGCTCCCCAACCCCACAAGACGTCCCAGGAGGCCCCCACGACGCCCTCACGACGCCCCCAATCGGCCGAAGAGGCTTCCAAGGGGACCCCAGCATGACCCAAGAGGGCCCGAAGACAGCCCGAGCCGCCAAGACGGCCCAAGAGGTCCCCAAGACGGCTCCAAGAGGAGGCCCACACAGAGCACCCGCACGGATATTTCGAGACCTCGGCCCCGAGGGGGTCCTCTTAGGCCCCAAGAGGCTCCCAGGACCCCCCCGAGAGGCCCGAAGAGGCCTCCAAGAGCCCCCAGGGAGCCCCAAGAAGCTCCACGACGCTCCCAAGATGCCCCCAAGAGGCTCCCAAGAGGTCGCAAACTGCCCCCCAGAGGCCCCGAGAGCGCTCCGAAGAGACCCCAAGAAGCATCCCTGAAGACTCTGACCCATGTCAGCGTCGTCACCGCCGCCGACGCCGCCGCCGCCGCCCTCGTCGTCGTCGTCGTCGTCGTCGTCGTCGTCGTCGTCCTCGGCCACCCCCCTTCAGGGTCGGTGACACGAGCCGCAAGGCCTTCGCAATGTCCGAACGGAAGACGGAAGGAAACAACACGGATTGTTCAAGTTACTCTAGTTGTTCAGGGCAGCCATTTAGTTGAATGTGTCGAACCATGTCTACGATTCCTAGTATCTTGATGAAGCGCCCCGCAGAGACCGAGGAGGCGGGTTTCTGGGCGAAGATCGGAGAGATGTTCCAACCATCGGAAGATGACGTGGCGAAACAACTCGGGGGGGCGGATTGGTAAAGTTCAGGAGGGGAAAAACGCACACAGACACAATTAATCGTCGATCCTCAGAAAATATGGGAAAATATGGGAAGTGGGGGGGAAGACAAAAACCCAGAACATATAGGAACAGATGGGGGATCTGTTTATTTGTGTGTATTTATTTGTGTGTCCTGGGGCCCCTTCAAAAGTCGAGAAGGCGCAGGAAGATTCGGGCAGCCGCACATCGAAATTAGAGGAGACGATGACCGGGTTGGAGGAGAGGGTCGGGAGTCGGGACGATAAGCATGCCGTCAGGGGAGAAGTTCGTACCGAAAGCAGTGTGGTTGAAGAATTTTCTGCGAGTTCCACCAGCGGCGCGAAACGGGAATCTCTCGTCCGCAGGTTGTCACCCTCGTGAGCAAGCTCAACCAGTGTCTCGATCCGACCCTTCAGGAACAAGTGGGCGATTTGGATCCACTCTTTGTGGGGCACGATCCGCGTGAAGGGCTACGCGAATACGCCCACTGAGGCCGCAGGCGGGCCTCTTCCCGGCACGCCCCGTGCGAGGCGTGTTCCGAAATTGGCGGGGGGACGCCATGCGAAGTTGCCCATTGGTGCCATATGTGGAGCTCCTTCTGGGGCATGATTCGCGTGACAGGTGTGCTGACATCGGCGGGGGGGGGGGGGCGTTGTACGAACCCTGTCTCTGGGCCTCTAGGTGGTGCTCCTTGTGGGCACGATTCGCTTCATTTGGTGTGCGGCAATGACCGGGGGGGCGCAGTGCGAACCCTGCCTCTGGGGCCGTAGGTGGCGATCATTGCGGGCCACGATCTGTGTGAGAAGTGTGCCGAAGTAGGCGGGAGGGCGGCATGCGAACCTTAACTTTGGGGCCGTCCGTGGAACTCTTTGCGGGCCACGATCCGTGTGAGAGGTGCCGAAGTGAGCGGGGCGACGCTATCAAGCTCCCCTCTGGTGATCGGGGCACGATCCGCGTGATGGGCGTGCCACTATGCGAACCTTGTCTTTGGGGACGTGGGTGGAGTTCCCTGTGGGGCGCGATCCCCTGTGAGGGGTGTGCCGACGTGGGCGGGGGGACCCTAAGCCAAGCATGTCTGTGGTGCCGCAGGCGGAGCTCCCTGACGTGCACGATCCGCGTGACAATAGTTGTCCTCCGATGCCAGACACATTGGACTACAACTGGAACTTGCTAGAGCCTATGCGCGCGCGAAGCGCGCGCATGGCTCTAGTACGAATTAGTGGATCGAGGGATCCAAATTTTCCCGTCCATTTGCAACATGAAGGCTTCGGAGGTTTGGGATCACGGGGCGGGAATTAGATGGCAGAGATTTGGCTTCCGCACAGTCCTCCTCGGAAGGCCGCGGTCGCACAGGACGCTCTCTGCGTTTTTCGCACCCGATGGCCTCCACCTCTGCCCCCTCCTCTGTCTCGAGCGCTGCTGTGCTCGAGGGTGTGTGCTCACGCCTTCGAGCAGAGGTCGCCAGGCCTCCTGAGGAGGGGATCAGAGCCGCCGACTCTGGCAGCTCTGATTGAGGTGGTTCATTCTTTTCAGCGATGTTGCTGCAAAAAACAATCCCTCTCGTTGCAATTCCTCCTTTCTCTCTCTCTCTCTCCCTCTTCTCTTTTCCTTCTTTCCTTTTATACTGTTCCTCGTCCGTCCTGGGCCTTTACTCGACAGGCCCCCCCGGTCTATTCGATTCCTCTCCGTAGGTGCGTGTGCCAAGAGGCTTCGCTCGCAGGACTGCTTGATGAGGGTGGTTCTTCTGCCCCTCCGGAGGACCTCCCCTCCCGCGGCCCTCTCCCCCTTTCCGCTCCTCTCCCTCGACGGCGGGCGAGGGGAGGACATGAGAAGGAGAAGGCCTTTTCAGAAGGCCTTGCGCCTTCTGGGAATCGGTTGTTTGTCTTCGGGGAAGGCTTCGAAAACTTGTCAGAAGAAAGGGGGGGGTCCGAGCCTTCTGAGAAGGCCTTCTCCTTCCCCTGGGCCGCCACGGCCACGGCAGGTGCCCTTCCTCCTCCTCCCCTACCTCTCCTTCCTCCTCCTCCCTCCTCCCTCCTCCTCCTCCTTCTCATCCTGGTTCTCCTTCTCCTCCTCCTACTCCTCCTCCTCCTCCATCCTCCTCTTCCATCCTCCTCCTCATTCTCCTCGTTCTCCTTATCTCATTCCCCCCTCCCTCGCCCGCCGCCAACTCCTCGAGGCCCGGCGGGGGCCGCCTCCTCCCTCCCGGCGGCCTGGGCGCAGGGGCGCCGCGCGGACCCGTTCCACCAGCGGGGTCCGCCGCATGGCGCGCTGCCCCCCCGGCCCCGCCGCAGCTCTGCTCGCGGCTCCCTGTGGCCGGGGTTCCGCCTCCCCCTCGTCCCCCCCCATCCTCCGCCCCCCCTCCTCCTCCTCCTCCTCCTCCTCCCTCCTCCTCCTCCTCCTCCTCCTCCTCCTCCTCCTCCTCCTCCTCCTCCTCCTTAC